TCATTGGAGGGCCCGCTTTTGGAGGAGTGGACAGGGTTGAAAGAACAAACGAGGGATGCTGAGGCGCCCAGAATCTAGTGGCTGCGGGGCTCCAGGAATGGAGTGAAGGCAGCTACTGCCAGACACCTGGTACTAGAGCAAGGAGGCTGCAGGGGAGCAAGCACCTCCATCTCCCTCCTCCTGCCGCTGGCCTCCCGTGCAAGCCTCTGATGGGCTGAACCCAAGGGAAAGCCAGTGGCAAGGACCCCTCGTGGGGCCGGCCTTATGGAGCACAGGACAGGACAGGGAAGGGCGGTGATTCAGTCTGGCTTGTGATTGGATGGAGAGAATAGAGAAGAGCAGTGCATACTCTTTTCAGAAGGGGAATGAGCCTATGTATTTTTAGGGATATCAAAGAGGAAGGGAGAGAGAGGAAAATACAGAAACATCAATGATGAGAGAAAATCATTGATCAGCACACCCCCTACTGGGGATTAAGCCTGAAACTCGGGCTTGTGCCATGACCAGGAATCGAACCATGACCTCCTGATTCATGTGTCAACACTGACACATTGAGCCATACCATACAGGCAAAAGCCTAACTTTTCATACATTCATATCGGTGTGTAAATACTCATAGAGAGCTCTAGTTCAGGGTTTCCCAACCTGGGTCTACTAGAATCCGGGACTAGATCACTTGTTATTGGGGGCTGTCCTGTGCATTGCAGTATGTTTAGCAAATACGTGGCCTCTACCAGCGAGATGTCAGTAGCCCTGCACCCACTCACCCCATTCCCTGGGTGTGACAATCAAGAACATCTCCAGACAATGCCAATTGTCCCCGGGCAGCAAATCACCCCGCGGGGCTTGGTTAAGTCTACAGACCAGACTGGGAAGACCCTGGGATGGAGGGCAGGTGGACATAGTGCTGAGAAAGGGTTTACTCATATTTTAAAAATTGTCTGTGTTGTTTTTCCACTGAGAATATGTGCATGGCATGGGAAAATAACAAAAATAAAAACAAAGAAGGCAACAGTAAGTGATTTATCCAAATGTTGGAGCCCAGACATCTCCCTCTCCCACTGGTCTTTCTGGTACAGTCCGTGGTGGGCACCTGGGTACGCGAGTATAGTAACCAGCCACCCTCCATACATCTGAACACATACCTGGCTGGTTGGGAAGAGATTATGCTGAGCTGCAATATTTACTTCCCCCTGAGTCCCTCACCCCACCTACCATCAGAATTCCTGGGACCCCATCTATTATTGAAGGAAACCATTCGTTACACTCGTCCTTACCTCCCACTCATGGGGGATTCAGAGCTTGGAATAAGGATCCTCCCATGGGTCATTTTTTTTTCAACAAGATGAGTTCATTGAACTGATAGTATCTTTTCTTTGCACAGGTTGGAGATACAGGGTATCAGTCACACTTGCTGGAAAAAAGGAAATGAGTGGGTCCTTCGGGATTGCTTTATATGGAAGCAATGGAAACTCAGAGCAATATGAAATTTTCAAGTAAGTCTGATAGTAAAGCGAAATGACCATACTTTCCCTAGTAGATTATTAAGACAAGATTGGGTGTAAACTTCTACATACATCTAGCCATACAGAACCTTTGAATCCTAGAATGTCAGAGCCGGAAGGAAGTCTCTTAGCATCTAATTCAATCACCCCATAGGAGAAGAGGGAGGCCCAGAGAGGAAGCACTCGCGATTTTAAAGGCTGACTCCTTCTGGATTGCCAATCACTGCTTCCTTCCTGCTGAAGTTGTGGGGTTGCTGTTGTTGTTTTTTTAATTTTTTTAAATTTTGTTTCAGAGAAAGGAAGGGAGAGGAAAAGAGAGAATCATCAATGATGAGACAGAATCATTGATCAGCTACCTCTGCACACCCCCTACTGGAGATCGAACCCACAACCTGGGCATGTGTCCTGGCCAGGAATTGAACTGTGACCTCCTGGTTCATGAGTCCACACTCCAAGACTGAGCCACACCAGACAGGCCCTGCTTAATTTTTATGAATATCATGTTCTCCTTAGACAAAGCACATTTATATGGCAACGCCTTCCCATCCCACACATACTCCATCCCCCACTTGGACTGTGTTCCAGGTGAAGCCTAAAGCTAGCTTCCTGTTGCTATGGTAGCCTCAGCACCTAGCTTTTGTGGATATATGAGGAGCTTGATAAAAATGCGTTGGATAACTGTGCTGTAAAATTAAATTCTGTTTTTGTAGTAAGTTTGCATAATAATTTTCATATTAAGTTAAAGTTCTTTGACTACTT